TCCAGGAACTGGTTAAAATTTTGATAAGCTTAAACAAGCTACTATTTACAAATTAATGAATGTAGTTTTACAATTGTAATCAGTTGTTAATTTTGCAGACATGAATTCAGTCATTTAAACATTAGTGTAGTTTATGTAAGGTTTTCAGTCATTAATATTAACTTATATTAATATTAATATTAACTTAAATCACCGACCGTATTTTTTAAATAAGTAAAACCCACTACAGAGCGATCGACGGGTCCGAAAACCCTTGATGGTCCGAACCCGGGGATGGTTTCAAACGTTTCATTGGACAATAAACAGACTGTAAACGGATGGGTTTGTAGGCGCCCTTATAAACACAAACATTAAAAATCGGGAAACGTGACGAAAAGCTGTCCAATATACAAAAAGTTTTAGAAACAAAAAATACAAAAACTAGAGTTTTCATTTAAGGTTTTTTAAATAATATTCAAGAGGTTGCTAGTAGACTTGCAGTAAATCAACCTTTTAAAATCTTTTATAAGCGTGTGTAGCTGTGGTCAGTAAAAAACAAACGGTACCACATGGATAAAAATGTCATTTTTTGGAAATTGGGGTGTCACCCCCTTGTGAGATATCCCAGAACGCTAAAGCAGTATAAAACGGGAAAGTGTTTTTGGGGTATCCCCCAAAGGGGAAAAAATCTGGGGGCAAAAAAACACGGGGTATTAAAGAGGAAACATCAAAGCTGCTTTCAAGAAAACCTGGAATTTTTCTAAAACAGATGGGAACAAAAAAAGTCCGGGTAAAATGGTAAACTGCCCTTGATACTGGCCATGTAGTCCAAAACTGTAGGCTGGAGGTGATGTCCTGGGTAGTCAGTAAATGTAGGGTGATAGTGTGTCCTGGGAGACGAAAATGGTGAAGCGGGGGAGGTGCTGTCCTGGGAGACAGTAAGGGTGAAGCGGGAGGTGCTGTCCTGGGGACAGTAAGGTTTAAGTGGAAAAATACTGTCCGGGGAGACGTAATGGGGAAGCTGGAGGCTGTCCTGGGAACAGAAAATGGTGAAAGCGGGGAATATGCCCCCTGGAGACAAAAATGGGAAGCGGAGTTTTTTTGTCCAGGATCGGGAATTTACGCAGGAAGGAATACATATAAATGCCCCTCTAGAGGACGGACCCCCATAGTGGGAAACAAGTGTGCAAAAAAAAGATAAAACCAATATTGCAAACCAAAAATACCGCAGGAATTTAGCAAAAAAGAGACTCCAATAGAAAATATTTGGGGAAAAAATTCCCCAAAAACAAGGGTTTTGGGACTCATTGTTGGTGCTAGGAGGGGTGGGAATAAGACAGGGAAACATGCACCAACAGGGGAAACAGTCACAAAAACCCAAAGGGCAAAGGGAAACCAAGCCTGTGCACATACTATTGCACTGGTATCGCGGCATGGGAAATCGGGGGAAAAAACAGATGGGACATGCAACTATGACCACCCTAGAAAATTTCCCCAGCCCAATGACAACGGGGAAAATGCAAACTCCCTTCCTGTAAGTTTTTTTCCCACCCTGAAAGTGTACTCTTCGTAAGGGAAAAAGACTGGGGCTAAAAATTTAAAATTGGGCCACCCTTTACCATCCAAAGGGAAAAAAAAGATACAAAACCCCAGGCCAGGGAAAAAACCGGGGTACCCCAAAGCCCTCAAGGGGGAAAAGAGGTTTTTTAGTGCCGGGAAGGGGAAAAAAAACGGGAGGAAATGGCAAAAATCGTACACCAAATCCATCATTCCTGGGGGGGAAAACCACAGTCGAGGCCCCCTCCCTCCAAACCAACAGATTTCGTACTAAAACCGGAAAAAAAAATCCCCCCCCCGTCCCAAAAATCCACCAGTCCCCCCCTTTCATTCTTTTTTGCAAATTTAAAAAGGGCTAAACCCCAATAAACAAAAAAAACCTTTCAACCCCTGGACGGGGTTGCAAAAGGGAAGGCAATGTTCGCGGCTTTTCCCCCCTGAGACCCACATAAAAAATCATTGGACAAAAGAAAAATGGACCCAGGTTTTTCAACCTATACGATTTTGGAACGAGTGAACAGGCAAAAGGGGGGGGGGGGGGGCCTGTACATTTCAGAGTCACTTTTTCACAGAATGCTTAATCCCCAAATGACGTATGGAAGTTTTTTGCAGTAAAGGTCGAGAACCAAAAACCAGCATTGTGGTAGTCTACAAGCCCCGGGGTGCAACCCCCCCCAGCAATTCCAGGAAAAACCCGTTAAAAATTGACCATGTCTGGAAAAAATTTCCGCTCCTGCACCCAACACTTTCCTTTTTAAAAATTAAACCCTAAAATAAAAAACAAATAATATTTTTCAAAAAACCCAAACACTCCTAAAAAAAACCACACTCCCACCCCCCTTTTAAATCTTCCACAAAACAATTTCCACAAATAATAAAACCCACAAACTAAAAATTTAACAACCTTTTTTTTTACCAATGAATTTTTCAAAAAACCACCCCCCAAACAAAACCTAACTAACACAAAATAATTACAACATGTATGTGGGCCCAACCGACAAAATTAAATATCACGAACATTCACCCTTCATTCAAATAACAAAAAATAAAATGGACCAAGTAAAACCAAGTTTCCCCCAACCATAAATAACTTGGGGAAAAAATTAAAACACAAAACCCCAAATTTTTATGCCCCCAAAAAAAATTAATGGTATCGATTAAGCCAAGGCTTATTCCCCCTAAAAAAAGGGGGAAAAATGTAAAAATAGAAAGGAAAAGGGCTCCCTTTACAGCCCAAAGGAAAAAAATAAAAGGCTTTTGGGTCAAAAAATTCAAAACCCCTAAAAAACTGGCGAAATAGCGATCCTTAAATAAAAAGAACCTTTTAAGTCAAATCGCAAAAGAACTAAAAGCTATAAATGAAATCGAAAGAAACCAAAGTAAATTTCCTTTTTCCTATGCCAATTCAAAATCGAGAAAAAAACGCCCTTATTGGCCCCTACTTAAAACAAAAAAAGGGTCCCCCACACAGAGAAAAAGCAAGGAAAATGGTGAGCTACTCAAGTCCCAATAGACTCGTTTTTTTGCAAAGCCGCTAAACCAAAACGAAGTCGAAGTCAAAATGAATTTTTTTTTGAGAGACCCCCAAAATTTGATTAACACAAGCCTACCAAAAGTTTTTTCCTGACCCAAATGACTTTTGAACGCGATAAATGACATGCCCATGCCACTCCCGCCCCCGGGGAGACTCATGGGAAATCGTGTTCAAAACAAAAAAATGCAAAAGCCCCTATCACGAGCCTTTTCCTCCCTATGGAGAGGGAGCATGGACACGGGGGTCGTCCCTCAGTTACAAAAACAACAGACATAGCCCCCTCCACAAAGGGGGCAGTAAGCAACAGCAAAGAACTACAGAAACCAAAAGCAATAACATCCCATAAACATAAAAATTTTTTTGAAAGGGGCCCCCAAAAACAAATCAACCACCCCTCTAGAAACCCCCCCAGTTTACACAACCCAGGGAAAAATGGGTTTAGAACAGGTCGCTCCTGTCGTCCCCCCAACTACTGGATCACTACGACAAGGTCCTAAATGCACTAGAAGACAAAAAAAAATGCAGATGTAATAAAAATACAGACTTTGGCAAAAGCCTTCGCAAATGTACCAGGGGGGTAATGCGCACAAAAAACGCCCAAAAAAGGAAAAACAGGGAAAAATTGGTCGATGGATCTATAAAATTTCCCCCCAACCAAACACAGAAGTAGTCGTCAAACAAGTAAAGTCCGAGGCAGCTACGGTGAAAAGCTCTGTTCCACAAGGCCAGTACTAGCTCCCCCTCTTGTTCCTCATCCTAAAATCCGCATAGACAAGGATGTCAGCCCCCCAGCACCGGTCCCTTCCTTGCAGAGACACCCGAATCTCATGACAGTGTCTTCCCTTGCGACACTGCAAGGCTCCAGGCGGGGCATCAACCAAATCTTTCGTGGGCTGCGAAAACAATATGAAGTTCAACGATGAAAATTTCAATTACTCAATAGGTAAACAGAGGAAATTAAATCTTCATCAAGTACAAAACAAATTCTGGCCCCAAAATAGAGCGAAACACCCAACGTCCCCCAAAAACCTGGGAGTGATTATGTCGGAGGACTCACCTTCAAGGACCATAACTTTATCAATCGCATCTGTAAAAAATGACAGGATGGATAAGAAAACCTTTCAAAACTAGGGGGGCCAAGCCCATGTGACACTCTTCGACTTGTTTCATCTAGGCTGGGGAAAATTGCTGCACCTAACAGCACCTTTCAAGGGCAGGTGGGGGAAAAAAAGCGACCAAAAAATGAACAGAGAACTTTCCGGCGCGCAAACGGGGGATAAAACAAAACCCCAATTTCTGGAGCGCTTGAGGTTTTTTTTAAAACCCGTAAAATTTCCCCGGAACGCAAAAGGGGGGAAGATACATGATTTAATACACCTGGAAAATCCCAAGGGGCTAGTACCAACTTGCACACGAAAATCACTCAAC